AAAAACAAAGCAGTAATTTTTCAGTGTTGCTCTTGGGACCAAACTAGAGCTCCTCAAATATTTAGAGAAATTCTACTAAGATTTAAATATCATTTTCCTCATGAAGAAATGAATGAACTTTATGGAAAGATTTACTCAGCAACTTCATATTAGCCCATTATCAAAATTTTAAAATTTACTCTAAATCAGGGGTTAGTAAACTTTTCTATAAAAGTTCAATAGTAAATATTTTAAAATATTCTTTTACGACCCTTTAAAAATGTAGAAACCAACTGAAAGCAGGCACTTGAGATATTCATACACACATGTTCATAGCAGCATTATTTATAGTAGGCAAAGGGTGGAAACCACCCTAGTGTCATCTCAATAGAAGAATGGATAAACAAAATGTGGCATATACATATCAAGGAATATCATTCAGCCTTAAAAAGGAATGAAATTCTGATGTATGATACAACATGGATGAAATTTGAAAACATTAAGCTAATAAAATAAGCCAGACACAAAAGGGCAAATAGTATCTGATTCCATTTACATGAGTTATTAAGAATAGCCAAATTCATACAGACAGAAAGCAGAACAATGGTTACCAGGGCCTGAGGCAAGGGCTAATGAGCACACATTTCTCTTTATGGTAATGAAAAAGTTCTGGGGATGATACGGATGATAGCTGTACAATGTAAATGCAGGAAATGCAGTTAATGCCACTGAATTATACAACTTAAAAGTGATTAAACTGGTAAATTTTATATTATAGATATTTTACCACTATAAAAAAACATGTTAAAAACCTTTCTTAATTCATGGACCATACAGAAATAGACTGCAAACCAGAACTGGCTTGCAGGATGTAGTTTACCAACCCCTGCTCTGAATCATAAGATCCATTAAACAAACAAAATGATATGGAATATTCAAAAAATTTTATGTCATTTAATTCACTTTTATTTTAACCAAGTTAAACAAATGTTCATATTTAATGTTTGCTAAATTTACAAAAATTTATAAATGCAAATGTAGTCTTTACCCCCAAATAATTGAGAAATCTCTTTAAGAATGAGGTAGAATGTACATAAAGACAAACAGAGATAATAGAGATATGGTGACACATGTCAATCCAACTTTATCTGTTTTAGATAAGGGGAAGGGGAGGGAAGTAAAGATGAATAAGGCATGGTGTCTGTTTCAATGAAGTTTAAAAGGTAGCCTGAAATACATGGTAGGTAAAGTTGAAGCTTAGATATGGACAGAAACAGCTTCAAGATTCCAATTTGAAAGTTTGATTTTACCACTTATACTACTTTTATTTTTTTCTTCACTCATTTGGTGTATAGCAGACCATTTCCCTTCCTATTTGTTGGAAAGGAGAAAAAAGGAAACATTGGAAAATTAAGCATACTGTAAGGACCTGCTCAGATCTCTCCCCTGAATGCTTACAACCTTTAAATATAAAACTCACTTAACTCATGGATTAGTTAGCACAATCTCAGCCCCTGGAGCCGACCAATCCCTTAAAAAGGAAAAATCTGATGGACTGAATGTAGGCTACAGGCAAAAATAAAGTCACTATAAGCAAGAAACTTCTTTCAGATTAGACAAACAATATATAAATGTATAGACCAAAGACAACAGTTTCAGTTGTCTATTCACTGGAAGAGATGTGTAACAAACAACCCTAAACTCGGTGAAGTAAAACAGCAATCATTTTATTACCCTCATGAATTCTTCAGGTCAGGACTTAGGACAAAGCAGAGCAGGCATGGTTTGTCTCTGGCTACATGGTAAGGGCCTCAGCTGAAATGACCCAAATGGCTGAGCAATGAGAATGGCTAGGAGCTGGGATCAGCTTCTCAACTCACATGACTGGCACCCAGGACTGGGCTGACTCAAGGCCTGGGCTCAGCTGTGACTGCTGACCAGTGTTATCTTCATGGGGCCTTTGTCTGTCTTGGGCTTTCTCACAACATGCCAGCCTCAGGTAGTGGAACGTCTCACAAGAAGGCTGAGAATTCCAAAAAGTAAATGTTCCAGCAGACAAGGTGGCACTGCATGGCCTCTTATGACCTAGCCTCAGAAGTCACATATGGTGACTATGACTACTTTCACCAACTTCTTTTGGTTAAAATCAGTCACATGCCCACATACATGTAAAGAGAGGGAACACAGACTCTACCTGGTTATCAGAAGAGTATCAAAAAAGTTGCAGCCAGGTTTTAAAACTACCATGGGAGGCCGGGCGTGGTGGCTCAAGCCTGTAATCCCAGCACTTTGGGAGGCCGAGGTGGGTGGATCACGAGGTCGAAGAGATCGAGACCATCCTGGTCAACATGGTGAAACCCCTGTCTCTACTAAAAATACAAAAACTAGCTGGGCGTGGTGGCGCGTGCCTGTAATCCCAGCTACTCAGGAGGCTGAGGCAGGAGAATTGCCTGAGCCCAGGAGGCGGAGGTTGCGGTGAGCCGAGATCGTGCCATTGCACTCCAGCCTGAGTAACAAGAGTGAAACTCCGTCTCAAAAAATAAATAAATAAATAATAAAACTATCATGGGTACATATTTATAGCAAAATGGAGATACATGCCAAAGGGTTAACAGTGCCTACCCCCAAGGATCCCTCAAAGTGCATTTAATCTATTATCTTCATTCAGATTAATCCAAACTTATCTTTCAAGGATAGCAAATTCCACCTATTTTCATGTGATGCAGTAATAAACTTCAATTAACCTGTATAATTTGCATCAAAGTTGGCTAATATCTTTGTTTTTTTTTTGACCCTAGCACCATCTGCCACTTATAACCATTTCTTATTTTTCAAACACCATCAAGCTCAGATCCACCCTCAGATTTAGGCTAAGTCATACCGAGAAAGAATGCAGAAAATGCCTATAGCAAGCAAAGCAAGTATATTAGGATCAACCAGCACTATGGCTGCTGAGACCAGTGGCTATTCCCTATCCTTACCAGACTTTAGGATCTTACAGGTCAAGAGAAAAAATGAACCAGATGGTGGGTAAATAAAGCTATCAACCTTTTATTCTCCGAAGTTAAAACAATTGAAGAACAACTACTATTATCATATTAAAAATAGGATACACAATTTCAAAATAAAACATGGTCCTTAAGAGTGAATAAATAAAACTAAATGAAAAATGTATATATCTTATTTGAAATGCTTTGGACCAGCAGTGTTTTGGATTTCAGAGTTTTTCAAATTGGGGAATATTTGCATTATACCTATCAGTTGAGCATTTCAAATCTCAAAATCCAAAATCTGAAGTGCTCCAAGGAACATTTCCTTTGAGCATCATATCAGCACTCAAAAAGTTTTGGATTTTGGAGCATTCTGAATTTTATTTTCAGATTTGACATACTCAATCTGTAATTTTGTTTTTAATTTCTCTGCTGATCTGAAGAAATTTCACCATAGAAGAATTCCAGTTTGTAAACGGGTATAGCGAAATCATTTGTGCATCTGTCTCATCTCTTCTTCCTTTTTTCTAATGGTTTTATATTTTTGCTTTAGAAACTCAAAATCTAAACAAGACAAAAACGTAAATGATTATAACACCATATGAATGCTGTAAGAACACCTGGGGAAACAAAAATAAAGGAAGGTCTCACAGGTTAGGTGAAAAAGGTTTGCCCATGAGAAAGAATGAGGGAGATTATAGGTAACTGAAAGCACAGAGACAATCTATGTATACAGCCTATCCAAGCTACCTCCACTGTGTATCAAAAAAGTAAAGAGTAGGTATACTTGGCTGTAGAGTAAGATTAACTTTCTCTTCATTATTCTTCTCTTTTATGAACTTTAACAATAGAGCAAGCATTAATTTAATGATTAGGAATTGTTTTTTAATTTCAGTTTTTAAAGTTAGCTTAGGAAAAACAAACAAAAGACTTATTTTTTCTGGTAGAAAGCAGTTTGGGTTAGGTTGTAAAATATAGATGTTAATGATTGGGAAGTAGGCTGCAGAAGTCAAGCTCCAAACAGGCGATACCAGGAAAAGGGCTCATAATATACATCCCGTGTCTCTCTGAGAATCCTGAGCTGGGTGTACTCAGTGTTGCAAGTTTTTTTTATCCGTAGGGTCATTAGGCAGAAATTCCCCAGGTGACAGGTACTAGCCGGTCAAATGCTCAAATATAATACCCTTTGGAGTCAGAGAGACCAAGGTTAGTATCTCCACACTACCACTTAAATAGCTCAGTGAGCCTGGGCAAATTAATCAGCCACTTGACTTTTTCATCTGTAAAGTGGAAAAATGCCTACTTCTCAAAATTTTTGTGCATAACAACTTACATAATGTAGGTAATGAACTCAGTACAGGGCCTACCCCCTGAAAACGACAATTATAATATAAAACGCATTTGTATATGCAATTGAGAAGCAGATGTTGGTTTGCTCTACTGGTTTCGCTAAAGGCTTTAAGCATATAAAACTCCTGTGTCTGCTGGGATGTCAACTTTTTAAAACTTAAATGAGTACAATTTTTTAACACAAGTTCCAAATGTGGAAAGGACATTCTGTATTTGCAGTTAATTCTAAAATTAAGCTGCCTTTAGAATGATCCATCTGTAGGATCCAGAAATAACCAAGAGACCCAGCCCCTAGATTCTAGCAACTGACAGAAAACTAGGTGGCGGTTTCCCATTCTTCCCTGTCTCCTTAATCCAGCGGGCTTTTGAATCAGAGATGTTTTGTGTAGAGATGGGCCTTCTCTCTTTCAGGCCAACTCTGAAGTAACCGCCCTTACCCAAGTTTTCGTTGAGCTGTAATAACGCCAGCAGAAGACTGTAGTAGGTGTGCCTCAAGTGTCCTCAAACAATTCCTGAAGCTTCCAGAATCCTTGTAAAAGCCCACTGAACCACCTGCGGCAACTCCACCCACTTCCACACACCTGCTCTTCTTTCTAACCCAGGTACGCAATCCTGCAGCCCGCCTTCTCAGGTGACCAATCAGAGAGCGCAGAGTGAGCCGGATGGGGCGGGTCCAGTTTGGCGCTGACGACGAATCACCTGCCTCAGACAGCAGGGGCGGAAGCGGAAAAGAGCCGAAAGTCCTGGTTTGGCCTTGGGTTCCGCTGTAGGGGATGTCCCGTGCGAGTGAGTGAGGAGGTCCTAGGGCTTTACCTACTAGCAGAATCGCGCGAAGAGACGCCTGCCAGTGCAGGAGGTAGGGAGCTCGATCCCCAAAGAAAAGAGCGACTGGACAGCAGCTGCAAGACAGAACCGGAGTGTGCGGGGTCCCTAGAGGCCGGTTCCTGATCGGCGCTGCTCTCTGGAAACCATGGTGCAGGCAGAGCTCAGGGCGATCCCCAGGTGAGGGCAGCGGCTCTGCGTGGGATTCCACCGCAGTAGAACCGAGTAGATGCGGGGTGGGGAAGAAACGATGTTGCCCGCACTGCTCCCCGATAGCACCCTGATCGGCCACATTTGCAGGAGCAGCAGCAGAAGAAGACACAGCGCCGGTCCAGGAGGCGGCTCGAGCTGTTAGTAAAGTCGCCCGACAGCTTTTTCTCCGTAGTATGCGAGTTGACAAAACAGCCAGAGAACAGGGCTCCCCATTACAATCTTTTCAAGCTTTTTTCCCTTGCTAACCGGATCTGATTTGTGCGAAAACATGCCTTGCACTTGTACCTGGAGGAACTGGAGACAGTGGATTCGACCTTTAGCAGTGGTCCTCTACCTGGTGTCCATAGTGGTTGCGGTTCCCCTATGCGTCTGGGAATTACAGAAACTGGAGGTAAGAGGGTTCTGCACCGTTAGCCTCCACACTTTGTTCTACTCATCTAAGATTGGGAAGGAGACACCCTTCCCCCATTTCTGCTTTGACAATCCTGAAAACCATCTAATGTAAACGAGCCCACTCTTAGGATATAAACCTGTCTAGTTTCTTGTTCACGGTTCTTCAAGTCACCGTACAGGTGGAGGTGGGACTGGGTCGAGAACACAGAATATATTGATACAGCTGCTTAGAAGGGCACCGTTTTGCAAGCATTCATCAGTTCCCTGAAAGGTAATTTTATTCCTGAAATCTGATCTGTTCAGATACTGGACTAAAGTAGGTCAAATAAACTACCTTGAAAACCATGTATTGAATTTTATTAGCTTTTAACTAGCTTCCTGAATCAAAGGATTCTAGTTGTTTTAACTTTAGTGTTTGTTTTTACTGTGGAAATTAGCTCTTACTCAACAAAGGTTTTGCAGAAAGTCCCTTATATGTATTTTTGATGTCATATGCTTATTGTGACATCAGTAATGTTCTACAAGCTGGAAAACCCAAGGTAAATAACTCCAATATAAATATTATATAATGAACTTTAAATTCGGGGTTAATACAACCCAGCAAGTACTTTTACAGAGAAACACCTATTACAACAACTGTAATAAGACCATGACTATTTTAGGCCCATCTTTATTGTGGAAATGATTTTTACACAGTTAAGCAAACTGTATTTAATATACATTTGTGTTCTCTATTTAGACTAAATTATTTTCTGTTGACTTTCCCATACTAGCATAGTCCATATAGTTATTTTAACGGCCGCATAATATTCTGCTACATTAAATATTTCCCATTTGTTACATATTTAGATTATTCTCACAATTTGTCTATAAAAACTTAGGTATAAGCATCTTAATGCAAATGGGATTTTCTTACTTTGAAGTATTATCTTGGAATATGGTATAGGAATTACTTTAAAGGTTAATAATATGCATAATATCAATGCCGTTTAAGGCTTCTCTTAGTTGCTAGTTTCAACTCTAGTTTTTAGGTGCCACTAGCTTTTAAGAAAAATTTGAATCTGCAATCTGTACTGCTAACATCCTAAGCCAAGTTCTCAGCATGTCTTGCCTGGATTCTTCTCAACACACCAGCCAGAGGAGTAACCAGTTAAAACATAGCACATTAGGTGTATCTTCTTAAATCACTTCTAGTCTTAAAGGCCAGTATTCCTCACTGTGGCCATCAAGGTCCAACATTATCTGACAACACTCCCACCCGATCCCCCTCTGACTTTTTCTCCTCAAGACCTAGGCTTCCACTGCATGGCTTTGCTCAAAAATCCCAGGAGTGCTCCCTCCTTGAACCTTTGCACCAAGTTTTCCCTTCATAGAAAGTCCTTTCCCTAGGTATTATTCTCACTGCTTTATGTTCTTCAAGTCTTTACTCAAATATCACCTATTTAACGTTGTAAACTTCCCCTACCTAACTCTTCATATTCCTTTCACTGCTTTATTTTTTTTTCCACAGGACTTGCCACCATCTACCACAATACATATTTTACTTCGTTTTCTTTCCCCCTCTTTCTGCCCAAATGACTAAAACTTGAATACATGACTGAGTCCCAGTGATAAATCAGGCATTGTATACTGTATGAGAGAACACTTATCTCCATAGAACCTAGTGGTGGAGACAAAGGGAACCAACAAAAACAAGTCAATAAAATTGTATAAAATGCTGTGGAAGAAACCAGAAAAGATCTGAGAAGTTAACAGGCAAAGCCATCTAATTGCATAACTTCGAAAGACCACTCTACCAGCTATGGAAAATAAAGTGGGAGTGAAGCGAAGTGAGAAAGCTCTTTATGGTAGTGAGAGGTGGTGGGTGCCTAGGCTGTTGATGGTTTATGGCCCCAGTAAGGATAGCAGGAGTAGAAATGGAAAACTGAATTGTCAGTATCCTTAGAAGTGAGCGAACAAGACTTGGCAGGAGATTGGGTTCCAGAGGAGAAGGAATGAGAGAAAGGAAGAAATCAAAGATGATTCTGAAGTTTTTGGTTTGAATAACTATGTAAATGGTGGTGCCAATTACTGAGATAGAAAATTGAGGGTTAGGAACAGGTTTAAGAGAAATTGAGTTCTATTATGGACAATTAGTTTAATAAGAGACATTCAATAGGCATGTCAGATATACTGCTGGATATACACATCTAATGCTCAGAAAGATTGACCTGAAGATACAAATGTGGGAGTTTATCTTAGCTTTCTCAGGCTGTGGTAAGAAAATACCACAGTCTGTGTGGCTTAAACTACAGAAATTTATTTTCCCACAGTTCTGAAAGCTCATCACATGCCTGTGGTGGGGCATATACTCATTTATTGGAATGGTAGGATGACCATCTATACTGTCAACTATTTTTCCCACTCTCTTGGCTGACCACATATACCTGAAATTAATTCGCACATGATGGCATGCTGCTCTGTAGTCTGTTTACCTCATCCCACTCATCCTCATGCCCTAGGAGTTCCAGATGTCAGTTCTTTCTCCCCTCAGGACAATTGAGCCCAGAAAGCGCTCTCTCCTATTCATCTCCACTATTTGTTTTGAAGCATTTTGCTGAGGGAGAGTTAACTTATTCTTGGATGCTTGTCTTTAAGGGTTTTTCTTTCCTTTCTACTTTCCTCAAGTTACCCTAGAAAAAAACTCTATCTCCTCCTCATTTCGTAAGCCAAAAAACTCAACTCGTGGCTGGTAAGATTAAGAATAATACTACTAGTACTATATCATTGTGTGTCAAATTTAAATAAATTATTTGGAGGTAAACATAAAATTAAAGAATTATATTGATAATTTCTGCAGATACCTAGTGTTGAGTTATTCTATTATAATGTTACTTAAATATATACACACATAAAATTGGTTAAATTTCTTATGCATGTAGCTCTTATATAGCTCAAAAATGAAAACAACTGTAAAACCAGTAATTAAAATTAATGGCATTAATGTGGAGAGATGATTTCTTTCTGAAACTAAATTACCATTTGCCATGTACAAATGATACTATGTGGTACTGGATTTTAAAATTTGACCTGCAGTGACCAAGTCTGTAGTCACTTGTTTTATGATTGTTTAAAAAACAAAAACAACTTTCTTCCTTAGAGCACACTGAGGAGACTTGACCTTTATTAGTCACAAACACACGTAAAACCAAGTTCTAGTTTTTGGAACCGAAGCAATCAAAAAAAGCAATTACTTGGCAATACTTTTTTTTCCTTTTCTTTTTTTCTTTTTTCTTTTTTTTACTTTTTTGAGACACAATCTCGCTCTGTCACCCAGCCTGGTGTGCAGTGGCATGATCATGGCTGACTGCAGCTTTGACCTTCTGGGCTCAGGTGATCCTCTGACGCCCAGCTATTTTTTTTGTTTGGTTTGTTTTTTTTAGAGATGGAGTTTTTCCATGTTGCCCACGCTGGTTTTGAACTCCTGGGCCCAAGCCATCTGCCCGAAGCGATGGGATTGCAGGCATGAGCCACTATGCCTGGCTGCAGTACCATTCTTAATGATCACTTTATACTAAAGCCGATCTAGAATATGCTTATGGTATTACTGTTTTCTTAGATCATTACTGAAATTTCACTTTCCTTGGTTTCGGTAACCTGTTGTCCACCATGGTCTGCAAATATTAAATGGAAAATTTCAGAAATAAGTAATTTATAAGTTTTAAATAATTTATTACAGTATAGAATTGTTCTATTATTGTTGTTACCACTTACTGTGTGTTCAATTTATGAATTAAACTTTATCATAAGTATGTATGTATAGGAAAAAACATAATATATGCATATAAGACTTGGGACGATGTACAGTTTTAGGCATTCACTGGGGGTCTTGGAACCTAGCCCCCACATATAAGTGGACACTACTGTACTCAATTTTAAATGAAATGGATAAAAGCAAAAAGCCCTGTACTAAGAGTGCTCAGACATTCCTTTTAGAATCTTCACCTCCATCTATTTGCTTTTAACTTACTGCTTCAACATGCCCACAATCAGCAAGACTTTGTATTGGCTTTTGGTTTTTTTTGTTTGTTTGTTTATGAGACAGGGTCTCACTCTTTTGCCCAGGGTGGAGTACAGTGGCACAATCATGGCTCACTGTAGCCTTGACCTCCTGGGCTCAAGCAAATCTCCCACCTCAGCATCCCTTGTAGGTAGGATTACAGGCACATGCTATCACGCCTGGCTAATTTATTTTTTGTAGAGATAGGCATCTTGCCATGTTGCTCAGGCTGGTCTGGAACCCTTGGGCTCAGGCAGTTATCCTGCCTCAGCCTCCCAAAGTGCCGGGATTACAGGCATAAGCCACCTCACCCAGCCCTTTTCAAGCATTCTATATATTTTACTGTAGAAATTTATTGTTGTAAAATTACATTTGTTCTCCATACTTTTGTTTTCTACCTCTTTTATCGTTAGCCCCTGGTAGAGGAAGAACAAGTCTTATTCAAAACTGAAACTGGGCCGGGCATGGTGACTCATGCCTATAGTCTCAGCATTTTGGGAGGCTGAAGCTGGCAGACCACTTGAGGTCAAGGGTTCCAGACCAGCCTGGCCAACATGGCAAAACCCTGTCTCTGTTAAAAATACAAAAAATTCAGGCTGGGCGCAGTGGCTCAAGCCTGTAATCCCAGCACTTTGGGAGGCCGAGGCGGGTGGATCACGAGGTCAAGAGATCGAGACCATCCTGGTCAACATGGTGAAACCCCGTCTCTACTAAAAATACAAAAATTAGCTGGGCATCATTGTGCGTGCCTGTAATCCCAGCTACTCAGGAGGCTGAGGCAGGAGAATTGCCTGAACCCAGGAGGCGGAGGTTGCGGTGAGCCGAGATCGCGCCATTGCACTCCAGCCTGGGTAACAAGAGCGAAACTCCGTCTCAAAAAAAAAAAAAAATTAGCCAGGCGTGGTGGCAGGCACCTGTAATCCCAGCTACTCGGGAGGCTGAGGCAGGAGAATCGCTTGAACCCCGGAGACAGAGGTTGCAGTGAGCCAAGATCGCGTCACTGCACTCCAGCCTGGGCAACACAGCAAAACTCAAAAATAAATGCCCACCTATTCCTCTTTAAAAAAAAAAAAAAAAAAAAAAAATCATACTCTTCAAGGCAAGATTACAAGTTAGTATAAAAGTAGGCGGTTAGCCTACTACCGCCAGGCGCAGTGGCTCAAGCCTGTAATCCTAGCGCTTTGGGAGGCCGAGGCGGGTGGATCACGAGGTCAAGAGATCGAGACCATCCTGGTCAACATGATGAAACCCTGTCTCTACTAAAAATACAAAAATTAGCTGGGCATGGTGGCACGTGCCTGTAGTCCCAGCTACTTGGGAGGCTGAGGCAGGAAAATTGCCTGAACCCAGGAGGCGGAGGTTGCGGTGAGCTGAGATTGTGCCATTACACTCCAGCCTGGGTAACAAGAGCGAAACTCCGTCTCAAAAAAAAAAAAAAGGCTACTACCCTGATTGTTTTTCAGTTTTTCTTTTTCTTTTCTTTCCTAGAGACAGGGTCTCACTTTGTAGGCCCAGGCTGGTTTCAAACTCCTGGCCTCAAGCCATCCTCCCACCTTGGCCTCCCCAAGTGCTAGGATTATAGACACAAGACATTGAGCCCAGCCAAGCTCTTTCATTTTAATATCAGAATTTATACTAACATGTTATTTTGTTTCTTAAGGTTGGAATACACACCAAGGCTTGGTTTATTGCTGGGATCTTTTTGCTGTTGACTATACCTATATCGCTGTGGGAGATATTGCAACACTTAGTGCATTATACACAACCCGAACTACAAAAACCAATAATGAGGTAAAACAATATATTTGATTCCACTAGTGTTGTGTTGGCTTATTTCATAAACATGACATTAAAGTTTTTTAAATTTATGTTTCCTTTTTCAATAGGATTCTTTGGATGGTACCCATTTACAGTTTAGATAGTGTAAGTATGTTTCATTTTTATCTCATTAACTAAACTTGTTTGATGATACCAGCTATACTTACAGAATGCTTGAGGTAATGAAAGTATGTTACTGACAATAAGGAGTCAGATTAATAAGAAAAGTAAAAAGGTTCACTTGTTTCTGATGTTGATAGAGAATATAAAGTATGATAATTAAAAATGTAAATGTGATATTTTAAATGTTTAAAAATCTACAGCTGTTTGCTTTCTTTTAAACGTTCAGAAAGTTTGGTAAAGAATGTAATATTTTAAATTATATTACCACTCTTTTTATTAAGTCGTTTATTTGAACCACAAATTTAAAAACCTTCCCCAGTGGATACACATGAAATTGTTTTAGATGACTGCTTCTAATTTGAGTAAATATAAAGGAAATATCTTTAGCAGCATTATCTGTGATCGTATTAAGAAAAGCTTCAGATTTAAGAACTCAAGTACTTACTTGAACTTGTCTATTATTTACCCCTCACTTATGTTTTTGTTTACCAATATCTAAGATGTTTATTGCTTTTAAAAATTCATTTCGGGCCGGGCGCGGTGGCTCACACCTGTAATCCCAGCACTTTGGGAGGCCGAGGCGGGTGGATCACGAGGTCAAGAGATCGAGACCATCCTGGTCAACATGGTGAAACCCCATCTCTATCAAAAATACAAAAAAATTAGCTGGGCATGGTGGTGCGTGCCTGTAATCCCAGCTACTCAGGAGGCTGAGGCAGGAGAATTGCCTGAACCCAGGAGGCGGAGGTTGCGGTGAGCCGAGATCGCGCCATTGCACTCCAGCCTGGGTAACCAGAGCGAAACTCCATCTCAAAAAAAAAAAAAAATTCATTTCACAGATTGTCTGATAGCCCTCATGATAAATTTTAGAGAGTCTCATATAAGTATATGACAAGACACCTCAAACATAAAAGTTAGCTTATTGTGAGTACCATGAATGGAGTGGTGATTCATTTTATCTTAACTGCAACTATCTTTAACATCTGTGCTTTTTCTTAGTGGATAGCGTTGAAATATCCCAGCATTGCAATATATGTGGATACCTGCAGAGAATGCTATGAAGCTTATGTAATTTACAACTTTATGGGATTCCTTACCAATTATCTAACTAACCGGTATCCAAATCTGGTATTAATCCTTGAAGCCAAAGATCAGCAGAAACATTTTCCTCCTTTATGTTGCTGTCCACCATGGGCTATGGGAGAGTAAGTACATTTGGTTTAATTTTTTATGTTTTGGTTTTTCATCTAAGCAGAGTTTTTAAGTAGCTATCAGCTCTTTACAAGGCAGTGTGTTAAGTACTAATAGCAGAACAGTAAGTATAAGACAGGGTTCCTACCCTGATGTAGCTCATAGTTGTTTGAAGGCTAACAAAACACAGTTTTGTAATCCCACATACATGTTAGTCTTTTTTACATTATGAATCCCAAATCAAAAAATTAAAGTATTGCAGGTAAAAACAGTAATCATTTAATCAATATGCTTTTGCAGTTGAGAATCAAGGTCTGCAGATCTTATGTAAGAATACACAGCTAGTTAAAAGACAGAGATAAGATAGTCTAGGTTGTAGAACCACATATGTGAAATAGAAGCAATAAATAGCAGTGTTTGGTAACATAATACATCAGCTTGCCTTATTATATGTTCATGTAGGACATTAAAACTTAATGTCATTTCATTTTGAAAAATAAATTGAGGTTGCAATCACATTTATTATACAAATGAACCCTTTGGTATTTTTCAGCAAGCAAACATTTGGAAACTGTTTTAGAAAGATTAATTTGGCAATATCATAAGTAATGAATTGGAGGGACGAAGATTGCAGAGATGGGGAAATGTTAGGAGTTTATAATAATCTATTTGTGAAATAAAACTGAAAAGGAGGGATGAGATTGGAACAGAAGAGAAAGGCAGTAAGAGAATGCAACTGAAAAATCAGTAAGACTTGACCACTAATGCAACTGCCAAAGGGGTTCACCTTACCGGCTGCCTAGACAGAAAGATTGATCAACATAGTGGAATTACAAAAGATAAGAGTAATTCACACAGAGCCAGCTGTGTGGGAGACAGGAATTTTATTATTACTTAAATCAGCCTCCTCAGGCATTCAGGGATCAGAGTTTTTAAGGATAATATGCTGGGTAGGGGGAAGCCAGTGAGCCAGTTAGTGCTGGTGACAAATGAAATCATAGGGAGTTGAAGCTGTCCCCTTGCGCTGAGTCAGTTCCTGGGCGGGGGGCCACAAGGTCAGATGAGCCAGTTTATTGATCTAGGTGGTGCCAACGGTTCCATCAAGTGCAGGGTCTGCAAAATATCTCAAGCACTGATTTTAGGAGTAGTTTAGGGAGGATCAGAATCTTGTAGCCTCCAGCTGCATGATTCCTAAACCATAATTTCTAATCTTGTGCTAATGTTAGTTCTATAAAGGCAATCTAATCCACAGGCAAGAAGGAGGTTTTGCTTTGGGATAGAGTTGTTTCTATAACTTCGGGGAAAACTGTAAACTAAGTTTCTCCCAAAGTTAGTTCATGCCCAGGAATGAACAAGGACAGCTTGGAGATTAGACACAAGACAGAGTCGGTTAAGTTAGATCTCTTTCACTGTCTCAGTCATAATTTTGCAAAGGCAGTTTCACTAATAAATGAGGAATAAGGTGGAAATTACAAGCCAAAGTAAATGAAGGTAATGAGTCTAGACATACAACGTAAGAATGGCTGCATTGCCTCCTATGCAGTACAGGACCATTTGTACAACCTCCTGACAAATTTTGTCTTTATTTACACCCTTGAAATGACAGGGAGCTACCTGGCTTTTTAAAATAATAAGCTACTAAGGTGTTCATTTGACAAATATGTATTGAGCACCAAGTATGTGCTAGCATAAAGATAGATCCTGGTGCGCAGAACAAACATAGACCTCATGGAACTTAGTTTGGTTAGGAGAGTTAGGAATTAAATGAAGACACAAATATATAGTAACTTATTTCAGAAAATGCAATGAAGGAAAAAGGAAGAGGCCGTGAGAGAGAATAGTAAAGACAAATTAATGTAGACTGGTTATCAGGGGAGAGAGATTCTGCTCACCTCTGAAGGCAACAAGGACAAATGGGCATTTATAGATGGAGGATGTTGAGGGGGTCAGTGAATGCAGAATTATGAAGAGGGGACATCAGGGCTAGGAGGATTCTCATCAAACTGACTGAACAGGATTCTTGCCAAAGGCAGGCCAAGGCCTTAGTCATCAAGGGTGGGGGCTGAGGAATTTGATCAGATGTTAAAGGTGATCAGGTAACAAAAGGGGCTGGGGAATGACTTAGCAAGATTCTTCTAGACTGACTTACAGACCAAGGACAGGGCCCAAGGATGAAGAGGAGTTGAAAAGAGGAGTCAGAGGCTTGTCTAAAGTTTGGTTAATGAGAGTCTTTATCAAATGAGAAACCATTTATAGGATATTATGCAGAAAACAGGTGTCTAAATTTCATTTTCAAAGATTACTGTTTTGTTTTGAGATAAGAGTCTTGCTCTGGTCACCCAGGCTGGAGTGCAGTAGCACAGTCTCAGCTCACTGCAACCCTTCTTCCAGGTTCAAGCGATTCTTATGCCTCAGCCTCCCAAGTAGCTGGGATTATAGGCATGTGCCACCATGCCCAGCTAATTTTGTTATTTGTTTTGTAGAGACAGTTTTGCCGTGTTGGCCAGGCTGGTCTCAAGTGATCCACCCACCTCAGCCTCCCAAAGTGCTGGGATTACAGGCATGAGGATTGCTTGAACCCAGGAGTTTGAGACTAGCCTGGGTAACACAGTGAGGCCACATCTCTACAGAAAATTTAAAAATAGCTGCTGTGGGGGGCATACACCTATAGTCCCAGCTACTCAGGAGGCTGGGGTGGAAGGATCGCTTGAGCCCAGGAGGTCAAGAGTAGCCTAGGCAACACAGTAAGACCCCATATCTACAAAAAAATTAATTAGCCAGATGTGGTGATATGCACATATAGTTCCAGGTACTCAGGAGGCTGAGCTGGGAGGATCTCTTGAGCCCAGGAGATCAAGGCGGCAGTGAGTCATGTTCACACCAGTGCACTCCAACCTAGGCAACAGAGTAAGACCCTATCTCTGAAAAAAAAAAAAAAATGGCATTTAGATAATTTGTTTCCTGCCATCCACATTCTTCTGCCACTGTTATTAAGAGTGACTAAATTGAAAGAATTAACTATAAATATGGTATCATTCATCAAAGTGATTTTAATTTGGAGGCTTTGGGGAAAATCTCATGCTTTTTAATAAGTAGTTGAAATTTTAAGTTCTTTTTCTTTTACAGAGTATTGCTGTCTAGGTGCAAACTAGGTGTATTGCAGTACACAGTTGTCAGAACTTTCACCACCATCGTTGCTTTGTAAGTACTTGGATTTTATATGAACTTTTTTTTTTTTAATTGTTGTGCTCTTATGTGGAAACAACTAAATAGAAAACAAAGTGTTAATGTGCTTATTTATAATGCAGGTCTAGTCTGTTGTAAAAAAAAAACAACAACAACACTATATACAAATTTACTCTATTAAAATGAATGACATGACCATTTATAGACAAAGAATCATCACAGGGGTCTTCTAAATATTTACATCCTTTCTAGAGCTAGCTTGCTGTAAAGCATTTTGAAAAAAAGAAAAAAAAAAAGTTTTCTTTTGCAAATACATAGCTTTATAGAAACACTATTACCTGAAGTTAAAGTATGCCACTTTAAGTTCATTCCAGTTTTATTTTCTACATAATCTAGAGTATATTAGAAGCACTCTAAGAAAGAAGTCATATTTTCTTTTAATATATTTTGTCAAGGCTTACAATTGAGGTAAAATGGGTTATCATTAAGCTACCTGGCAAAACTATTTCCTAAAAATTCAAAAACATCAAATACTTTAATGCCAATAGATTATATGTTTTATCTCTTAGTTGTTACTAACATTCTTCTTGCTCACAGAGGAAAAGTGAAAAGAAAGACTGGTGAAAAAATTCTTTATTCTGCCTTTGAGCTAGCAATTATTTAGCCATTTAATTATGAAGGCATGCTTTATTTCCCTGCAGCTTAGAAATTGGGTAAGATTCTAATAATACTGATGGTAATATTTATTTGAAGGCATGTGAGTCTTCATAAAATTTACCTCCAAGATAATTGAGGGGAAAAAATTAACAACTACAGTTATATACACCTGCATTATATTGTGTTTTACAATCAAGCTTTCCCAAAATTAGACAGCATAGTTGTTTTTTTTAAATTTAGTACTTTTTCTGGTTTACTGTTATGTGTCTTATTTGGAATTTCCTTCAAGATGAAGGAATAATCATATGGTAAGGAATAATCATATGCCTAGAAAAATGGGTTTCTTTTCATTTTTGAACCACCTCTATATCCAAAGTCAAGTGATTGTCAATGGAATCTCTCAAATAAACTGACTTCTAAATTCTCTTGTGTCCAAAGTCAAGTGATTGTCAAGGGGATCTCAAATAAACTGACTTCTAAATTTAAGTATTGCTATTGCTGTATTTTAAAGTACAATTTTGATTTAGTTAAATATAGGGATATCTCATTTTTAATTTTTTAGAATCTGTGAGCTGCTTGGTATATATGATGAAGGTAACTTTAGCTTTTCAAATGCTTGGACTTACTTGGTTATAATAAACAACATGTCACAGTTGGTAAGTAAATATTCATTTTTCTTAACTACTAAATTAGTATCTATAAATAAATTTCTTTAGCCAGTTTCTTCTTAAGGCTTGCTTCTTTTTAATCTTTCTATAAATTTGAAATTTTTTAATTTTTCAAATATAAATTTAATTTGAAATTTAATTTATAGGAAGATTTATAGGAAGACTTGAAAAAAGACTTTAATATACATCTTAATACATATATAAACATATTATAATGTCTTTGTTATTATTTGGTGACTTATACCCTCACATGTTGACCATGTTTGTTCGTTTATGTTGCTTATTGCATAACCATATGAGTATGTCATAAAAACAGTGCGACATTAAAAAAAAAAAAAATACATACACACAACACACCCACATATACTGAGCATATTCAGAAGAGAAAATATCAAATTGGTATTTGATGGGGTATGGAGTTTGAATTAACATGCAAGAATAAAAATTCTCTGTTATATATTTGGAGTAAAAGGAAAATTGAGAGAATGCCAAGTTTAAAAAAATAGATGATATTCTAGAAACTGTAATGTTCCAAAGATCTGTGATGTAATGTTCTATTTGATCTTATGAGCTTAAAAAAACGTGCATTTTATTTAAATTCTTTGGCTAATGCTTTCAGCAAAATAATTTAGATGCAGTGGTGTGCACATTTGGTATTAGAGCTTTATAATAAAAATTAAATGTCCATGTAGCCAAAGCTTTCCCACATGTGTTTATCCTCTTTGGAACCAGTAATTCTGTTTCTGGGAATGTATTCTAAAGAAATGTTCAGAAGCATGTTTGCCTCAAGTATCTTTGTATATAAAGCTTACTACTTGTAAATAACAAAAGGCTAAAAGCAATCCAGAAACCAATGATGGCTACTAGTTGAATACACTGTGCTCTTTCCATTGACCAAAATATTAGGCAGTTATTAAAAATAAGCTTGATGAAACATACAGAACTTAGGTATTTTAAGTGGAAAATACATGAGGCAATAAAATTTTATAATTAATTCATGACAGTTATTTACAAACTGGCTTATCTGTACAAAGGATGATTGGAGACCATGAAAAACTTTATTCTTTGTTTACTACTTTCATATTCTAAAATAAATTTAGCATTTTATATTATTTTAATGGGGAAAAGTGAACTTTCAGGAAAATGTTTATTGTTATTCAGCACTACACTAGGTTATTACAAATTTCTAAAAAGTTAGTAAGTCTTGTTCATTTTTAAAAATAAATCTAGCTGCACTAATACACTACCCTCAGGAAAAATTGTTTCATTGATTCTTTACATTCAGATTTCAGTCACCATTTTTATTGAAATTGTACTTGTTTAATGCGTTACCTTAGTGACATAGGATAGACTAGGTAATAAGCTAAAGCCTTATAAAATTAGTGGTCATTTATGTTTAAAAGCCATTACAACAGATGGATGTTTTTTATTTTAGCTGAACAAGAGCCGTTTCTTCCATTTATGTCAGTCATTTGTTTACTGTTCCCTTATGGAACCCAGGAAGTGAACACTTAAAAACATTTTTCAGAAAGATGTTGTATATAGTATATATTCATCTATAATAAACTATAAGAGCTTGTTAATCTAAAAATAGAATAATAAAAAGTTTGCCTGAAACATTACTCTGTATCAGGTCTCTGGTATGTAACTTTAATATTTCTATTACCGTATCTATCTATTCTTACTGAAGAAGTTTAAATGTTAATCTTGTTTCTAGTTTGCCATGTATTGTCTCCTGCTATTTTATAAAGTACTAAAGGAAGAACTGAGCCCAATCCAACCTGTTGGCAAATTTCTTTGTGTAAAGCTGGTGGTTTTTGTTTCTTTTTGGTAAGTGTTAATTTCTTTTAAATGTTCTCATTTTCTGAAGGGCAATAAAAATGGTTAATAAGGATGATTTTTAAACATAGTCTTAATGCAGTAGAGGGATTAAAATGTCTCTACTTATTTTTTTTTAAAGTTCATCCTTTTAGCTGTTCTAGGATTTTCAAAATAAATAGATGGTCACTTCATTTTATATGAAGAAAATAGTTTGAAACAACCTAAATATCTCAATACTAGAATAATTATTAAAACAAATCATGCCCTGTCATATAATAGAATACTATGCAGTTTGGAAGAAAGCATGATGTAGAATATTTAATAATTTGGGGAAATAATCAGTAAATATTTTTAAAACAGAATGAAAACTATACATAGTCTCAATTTAGTAAAGAGGATGCAGTGGCTCACACCTATAATCCCAGCACTTTGGGAGGCCAAGGCAGGTGGATCACCTGAGGTTGGGAGTTCAAGACCAGCCTGGCCAACACAGTGAAACCCCATCTCACTAAAATACGAAAATCAGCTGGGCAAGGTAGCAGGCACCTGTAATTCTAGCTTACTTGGCAGGGAAGGCAGGAGAATCACCTGAACTCAGAAGGTGGAGGTTGCAGGGAGCCAAGATCATACCCCTGCACTCCAGTCTGGGTGCCAGAGTGAAACTCCCATCTCAAAAAAAGAACAAAAAAAAATTTATAAAGAGGTGGGTAATAGGGATCCTAGAAACAAATATACCAAATTTAACAGCTAGAAATAATACAAAAAGGGGAAAAAAAAAATCCCTGAAATCCCACCACCCAGAGAAAAATGATTAACATTTTGGTAAACCTGTGTTACATATAAAACTCCAGAGAAAAGTCTGTGGAATTCGACACTGTATACAGTATATTGTAGATGTAGTTATTTGTCAGTAAAGAAAAAAATTTTGTTGTTTGGCAGGGGATGGGTATTTTTTGTGGGTTTTTGTTTTTGTTTTTGTTTTTGTTTTGCTTTTGCTTAGTATTCTGTTATGTGGATATAACTTTTTACTAATCTCCTTTTGATATTTAGGTTGTACCTAATTTTTTGACCACACAAGAAACACTGAAGTGAATATTCTTATAGAACTATGGAAGTGTGTCTATTTCATTATTTGCTGTTTAAATTTTACCTGGGGCCATTATCTCTAGATTTGTTTGAAATGCTCAGCTTCACTCCCTATCTTGGGACAAAACTGTACTAGAAAAATAAATTTGTAAGGCAAATTAATATATTTAACATAGATACAATATGCTTCAGCAATATGCTGTCATGGCGGGGTGGTGGTGGTCCACAGGTTGCGCTGGGGTCTTTTTTTTTAATGGCACATTTTTAAAACTACTGCTCATTTTATGCTTGATATAGATTTGGCATTTACCTTTTCCTAACATATAGGCAAGCAGTAGTTATTGCTTTGTTGGTAAAAGTTGGCGTTATTTCTGAAAAGCATACGTGGGAATGGCAAACTGTAGAAGCTGTGGCCACAGGACTCCAGGTAAGTAGTGCCATCTCTGAATTCAGTTGAACTTCACTATTTGTTAAGCATTTCTATGTATCTCCCCTAAACCTGACAACACACAGGGTATGGGGCAATATTTTATCCTCACTTTTCAGGTGAGAAAACAGGGGAACCCTAGGGAAACTGGCCATAATTACTGATTTGTAGCAGAGCCATGAATAAAACTTGGATTTCATTACTCCTATTTCTAATTCTCTTTCTACATTTCTCCTTGTAATCTTTGGGTGGTGCAATGCAATATACTTGATGTGATTGAGAATGAAATGTACTTTGCTAAGAAATACTTGAGGTTGGCCAGGTGCACTGACTCACACTTGTAATCCTAGCACTTTCTAAGGCCAACACTCGGGGGATGACGACTCCAGGCATTTGAGACCAGGCTGGGCAACAAAGAGAGACCTCATCTCTACAAAAAATTAAAAAATGAAACACTTAGCCAGGCACAACAGCACTTGCCTATACTCCTAGCTACTTGGGAGGCTGAAGTGGGAGGATGGCTTGAGGGCAGGAGTTCAAAGCTGCTACTTGAGGAAGTGCAAAACATTTACATTTTGACATTTTGTCTTTTTTTGAAGAGGTCAAAAATCATTATTTTAGAAAACTGAAAAATGAATATAATCTGAGAAAAAGTAAGCAGCTGTTTATCTTAGCACTTTTGAAAAGTAGAGAAAGATAGCACTCTACAAAACTAAATTTAAATCCAAAGATGGCTGATACTATTGTTGTTCTTGTTGTTGTTATAGGACTTTATTATCTGTATTGAGATGTTCCTTGCTGCCATTGCTCATCATTACACATTCTCATATAAACCATATGTCCAAGAAGCAGAAGAGGGCTCATGCTTTGATTCCTTTCTTGCCATGTGGGATGTCTCAGATATTACAGATGACATTTCTGAACAAGTAAGGCATGTTGGTAAGTACCAACTATTTAATTAAACCAAATAAATAAGGCAGGATATTGAATTTCTCATGCTAGAGCAATTTAGTAGCTATTTAGAGATGAAAAAACACTTTAAAGCAGTACCACAGTCCAGGCTCATCAACTTTGGGGAGTGGGAGAGGGGGAAGTGGGGAGCATATTTTTAGAATGGTAAGTTTATAATGGTAAAAATAACTTTTGACTAACATAGAACACTTTATATTAAAGGACAGACAGTCAGGGGACATCCTAGGAAAAAACTGTTTCCCGAGGATCAAGATGAACATACAAGCTTACTATCATCATCATCACAAGATGCAATTTCCATTGCTTCTTCTATGCCACCTTCACCCATGGGTCACTACCAAGGGTTTGGACACACTGTGACTCCCCAGACTACACCTACTACAGCTAAGATATCTGACGAAATACTTAGTGATACTATAGGAGAGAAAAAAGAATCTTCAGATAAATCCGTGGATTCCTGAACAGTATGGAAAAGCAAACTGTGCAACTACTATATTATATTATTACCTGGTATCCCATGGATTTTGTGCTTGGTACAAACCATAAAAGATGGAAAATGTCAACACAAAAATAGCTGAAAGCCAGGTACAACTACTGGATTTATATATGTAAGTTTTGTATATCAAAAATAATTGGTCTAAATTTCCTAGACTTAGACTTGATTTCTTAACATTCGAGTATCACATACTCAAATGGTAGACAATGACCCCAACTAAATCTTCCTGATGTTACACTGCTTTATCAAGAGGATGGCCTTTTTAAAAAAAAAAATCAGTACTTCCTACCACTGCTGCATGAATATAATGCTCTGGAATTAACAGAAAGCATAATGCAGAAATACAAATTAGTGGAACTTAATAATAATCATGTGCCATATAAGCTCACCTAACAAACAAATTATATCTGTTTCTCAAATGAATGTCTTTCAATAAATAAGAATTTATCATTTATTTTCTGCAACATTTTTATGTCTCATTCTTTAAACATAAACTCTTAATGTTTTAACAAAAATTTCTTGATTAGAGGCACAGTGAAAAAGAAGTCAGTCCAAAAAAAAAAGTACTATTCATCAGTGCTATTAAAGGTGGCAGCAAATGTAAATCTTGGCTGAGTGGTCTTAATTACTCATGAAACCACAGTCAGAAGACATGTAAGTGCTATTTGGGAAAACTTTATTACCTAGGATGGCGTTTCTCGAATTGCTTATCACAACCCCACTGGGTCATGTTTGACATTTTATAATGAAAACAAAATAGAAAATGCATTGTATGTTACAGAAAGCAAAGATAAGTATTGTTTCTCAAAGCCTTTGCTTTATATATATATAGTGGTTCACAATAATTACACAGTCTTTTTTCTGTCCACTATTATAAACATTTCTATTAATAGTAAAAGTGAGCTATATGTAAAAACCCCAAAGATACACACACACGCAAAAATCTGTTAGAACAAGTGAATTCAGTAAAGTATCAGAATACAAAATCAACATACAAAAAACACTAGCATTTTTATACATAATGATCTAACTGAAAAAGCAAGATGCCATTTATGATAGTATAAAAAAAATACTTAAGAATAAATTTAACACCAAGGCAGTAAAAGATCTATCTGTACACTGAAAACTATGAAATATTGATGAAAGAAATTAAAGACACAAATAGATGGAAAGATAACCTGTGCTTATGGGAAAAATTAATAGTTAATATGGTCACACTACCCAAAGCAATTCAGAGTCAATGCAATCCTATCAAAATTACAATGGCATTATTTATAAAAATAGAAAAAAAAAATCCTAAAATTCTTATGTAACCATAAAAGACCCTGAATAGGCAAAATAATACTGAGGAAAAAAAAGTTGGAGACATCACATTTCCTAATTTTAAATTACACTACAAAACTATAGTAATCAAGACAGTGTGGTACTGGTATAAAAATACATACACAGACCAGTGGAACAGAATAAAGAGCCCAGAAATAAATACAAACATACAGGGTCAACTAATTTTTGACAAAGACACCAAGAAGACACAGGAAGGAAAGAACAATCTTCATTAAATGGTGTTGGGAAAACTGCATTTCCACATCCAAAACAATGAAATTGGAACCTCAGCCCTACAAAACAGTCAATTCAAAATGGATAAAAGACCTACCTGTAAGAACAGAAACTATAAAACTAGAAGAGAACACACAAAAGTTCCTGGACACTGACCATTGGCAATGATTTTTTGGATATCACACCAAAAGCTCAGTCAACAAAAGCAAAAACAAATGTGACTACATTAAACTAAAAAGCTTTCGTTGACAGTAAAAGTCAACAAAATTAAACAATAGCCAGCCTACAGACTGAATAAAAAATATGTGTAAGCCGTACATCTGAAAAAGGGTTAATATCCAAAATTTATAAAGAATTCATACAACTTAATTTTTAAAAGGGGCAAAAGACCTGAATAGACATTTCTCCAAAGAAGACACAGATGGCCAACAAGTATAAAAAAGGGTGCTCAACGTAATCATTAAGGAAATGCAAATCAAAACCACTCTGAAATACTACCTCTCACCAGTTAGGCTAGCTATTATCAAGAAAAAAAAAAAGACAACAAATGTTATGATGGTGTGGAGTAAAAGGAACTCTGTGCACTATTGTTGGGAATGTAGATTGGTACAGCCATTACGGAAAACGGAATGGAAGTTTCTAAAGAAAGATAAAACTACCATACGATCCACCAATCCCTCTTCTGGGCATATACACAAAGGAAATGAAATCACCTTGTAAATATATCTGCAGTCTGTGTTCATTGCAGCATTCACAGTAGCCAACATACGGAGACAACTGAATTGTCCGTTGACAGATGAATAAAGAAACTGTGTATATATATGCATACACACAACAGAATATTATTCAGCCCAAAAAAAAAACAATGTTATCTTGCCATTTGCTACAACATGCATAGGCCTGAAGGACACTGTGCTAAAATGAAATAAGCCAGAAAGAAAATAAGATACTGTATAATCTCACATATATGTGGACTTTAAAAAAAAAAAATCAAATATGTAAAGAACAAAACTGGTTATGGGTGGCTGGGAGGAATGGGGAAGTATAGCTCAAAGGATTCAAGGTAGGAGATACTGAAGATGAACACATCTAGAGACTTAATGCAGAATATGAGGATGAGGATTTTAGGTAATAGAATTGTACTGTATTTGGGATTCATGCTAAATGAGTAGATTTTGGTTGCTCTTGTCAAGAACAAAAAATAGATGGGTAACTGATGATGGGTATATTACTTTGCTTCACCTCATATACCTTAAATGTATGCAATGAAACTTATTTTAAAAATAAAGCTGGGTAGTATAACAATAGAGATAACAATAGGTAGTCTGAAGCAAAGATGTGTCTTATTTTCTTTGTGACTTACAAAGAGCATACAGCATCTAGGAGGCATGATAATGATCTTCCTTTATTTCAAAAGTCTATAAAAATTGGATCAATTAATATACTTACTGTGCATCCAAATCAAAACTTTGAAAAATAGTTTAGGATTAATTTTCTTCAATTTAATTTTGATTTGTTACCAGCTTTTAAATGTTCTTTCGCCAAAGTAGACCAAGAAAAATGCTGCCTCCTGAAGATTTATTCCCTGACACCTTTACTGTTTTAATTACATTTAGCTTATAGCTTAAATTCTTACTCAAGTTTGCATTCTCAAAACAAAACCTGAGATGTTTCAGATGTACACTGAGTATTTAAAGGAAGCAAGATCAGAATTTACAGTTAACCATAACCCTCAGTCTTCACTGGAAGCCTTTCAGTGTTTCCCAATTGCAAGTTTGGATTTAAGAAAAAAGGCCAAGATGCCTACAAATTTAAAGTTTTGCTTTACTTACTGACATATGACAATAACAATGAGACTATTAAAATCTTTATTCCATAAAATCAAGCAAAAGAAGTTTCCTAATTCAAAAAACTAGTGATGTATCCTTTTCTAGAAAGCAAGTCTGCAGCAGTATCTCTATAATAATGCTACTCTTTAATTTAGGATCTTTTAAAATATGCTTTATTAATGTCAATTTTTTAAAATATTTGACCATTACAAGGAATTTTTATATACTCCCAGTAATTAAAACAAGAATTTTTGTACTTGACGCTGTATTTAAACAGTGTTCATTGAAAAACTGCTCTTCATTGCTTTACTGTGATGCTGACATTGCTTTTGTGGTGCTGAACGCTGAGTACAAGTTCCTCTCCCATTTCAACCTGGATGGGATTATCTAAAACAACTGCAGCTTGTTTCCAGTGGGAGGCTTCACTTGAAGTATCCAACCGAATCTCTTCATCAAGGTACATATGATACCAAAATGGAACAGCCGTCACTCTTCCAGATTTACAAATGTGTACCTATGAAAATTAAGAAATTATGAAAATATCAGAGTACGTAGAGAAGACTTAGATAAGTCTTTTTTTACTTTTAAACACAAAAAATTATTTTAAAATGCATTTCACCACCCAGTTTGTATTAATATTAACCTATTTTATTCACTAATATTTACTTATATCCATTTTTGTATATTTAGAAAGTAAGATTTAAATCTTTAAAGCAGCTAAAACTATGTATACAAAGTATTACCTAATTTAATTATTCTAAACATAACAAAATCATTTTTTGTGTTGTACTTACCTTTACTTCTCTGTTAGAGGTGTTCAAATATGGAGTCATTAAATCTAGTCTTAAGAGTTCCACTGGCTTGCTTAAAGGTATACAGGGCAATGAGGATAGGTCCAAAAATACACGTACAGGTACCTAAAGAAAGTATAAATTTTTCACTTTCACTTGTTTTGTAGTCAGAGCTCAAGCTTTTCACTTTTACGCATTCCTTTTGTGGTCAGGGCTTGCTTTGACACTTGGCTCAGTATGATAGATTACTTTTTACATTACCTCCTTTATACTCCCCCATCAAGCTAAGGCTGGCTTTCATTGTTGCAGTACAGAAAGAATGAACAAACCAAGGTTTAGACAGGTTAGATAATTTGCTGTGGTTTCCATTAGCTGCAGATCTTTCATTTGGATGAAAGCAGATTAAATTTTTACTTAAGCCAAACAGCTCTAAAATTAAGTCAAAGATTTGCTTATGAAATAATACTACAATACTAAATGAATTGTTTCAGAAATGACGCCAGATTCAATCAAACAATAGTGAATGTCATTTGGAAAATAATTTTATTTCTAAAAGGCAGTGGTTTTCAATCTTGGCTGCAAATTAAAATCACCTGGGAAGGTTTTTAAAAGCCCAAATGTTCAGGCCACCCCTCAAATCATCTGGAGTTAGGATCCACAGACGTTTCCAATGTACAAAGTTGAGAATCACTGTTAAGTGTTCTATCAAGTTTAGTAGCAATGGAATGCTACTATTAATACTAATAATTTTTAATCTCATCATTTGAAACAGAAAGGAAACTGTCATTTAAAAAAACACTTTTCTTTGAGTAAGGCGAAATAGGACACAGACACAGTCACCTCTCCCTGGGCATCCTTGAAAGCATAAAACCTTTCTTTCCCATAAAAACTCAACAGTGACCCCACGCCATTTCTAAGACTCCTCATTATGCCTTTTCTTTCTATTTTTACATCAAACACCAAAAGAAGCCCTAGACTATGCCACCTCTTATCACCTGCCTCCTAATCCCCACACTGCTGAACCCATACCTCGTAGTTGGCCCCAACTTTTCTCTCACACTAACTTTACTGGCCCACTCCTGTCTTTTTTTTTTTTTTTTTTTTTTTTTTTGACAGAGTCTCACTACGTTGCCCAGGCTGGAGTGCAGTGGTGGGATGGATCACTGCTCACTGCACCCTTCGCCCCCTGGGCTCAAGTGATCCTCCTACCTCAGCCTCCCAAGTAGCTAGGACTACAGGTGCCCACCTCCACATCTGGCTAATTTTTATATTTTTTGTAGAGACGGGCTTTTGCCATGTTGTCCAGGCTGGTCTGAACTCCTGGACTCAAGCATTCTGCCCTCCTTCGCCTCTCAAAGTGCTAGGACTATAGGCATGAGCCACCATGCCTGGCCCTTCTGTCATGTTTGCTAGCTCCTTCTATATAAC